CTAATTTAAATAATTTTATATTGTGATAATTGTACAAGTAGAATGTGTAAATTTGAGAGAAGCTTCACAGTGAGCATACACTAATTTAAATAATTTTATATTGTGATAATTGTACAAGTAGAATGTGTAAATTTGTGTGAAGCTTCACAGTGAGCATACACTAATTTAAATAATTTTATATTGTGATAATTGTACAAGTAGAATGTGTAAATTTGAGAGAAGCTTCACAATGAGCACACACTAATTTAAATAATTTTATATTGTGATAATTGTACAAGTAGAATGTGTAAATTTGAGAGAAGCTTCACAATGAGCACACACTAATTTAAATAATTTTATATTGTGATAATTGTACAAGTAGAATGTGTAAATTTGAGAGAAGCTTCACAATGAGCACACACTAATTTAAATAATTTTATATTGTGATAATTGTACAAGTAGAATGTGTAAATTTGAGAGAAGCTTCACAATGAGCACACACTAATTTAAATAATTTTATATTGTGATAATTGTACAAGTAGAATGTGTAAATTTGAGAGAAGCTTCACAATGAGCACACACTAATTTAAATAATTTTATATTGTGATAATTGTACAAGTAGAATGTGTAAATTTGAGAGAAACTTCACAATAAGCATATGATACTTTAAATAATTTTATTATGTGATAATTGTACAAGTTTAACGTGTAAATTTGAGCAAGTGTACTTTGAGTATCACTCAGAAATGCACAAAGATATTTTGATTGAAATTCCTGAAGTGGATACCGATTGTAGCTCGCATAGAATCAACGGATACTTCCTAATTTCTGTATGCGCGAAAACGGGTCAAAGTTATTTTCGCGCGAGGCCTGCCGTGTCCGAAACAGCCGCCAACGCTTCTCTGCCATCGAGAAATGCATCAGGCTAGACCTAGAGTCGGTCATTTTACGCTTTGAACCTCGAGGTGGTCGCGCGTTGTGCTTTCGCGGAACCGGAGAATCCCGTCGTTCACTGGGGAACATCCTGAAACGCCCCGCGTCAAACGTGGAACTAAACGAACCGTCTTAATAGAACTAGCTCAATGTCGCCTAAATAAGGACCAACCGCGAAATGACAAAACGTTCTTTTAATGTTAACACGACCATGCGATCACCGGTGAACCGTCGACATCAGAGCGTCTTCACTTTTATCGTTTTTTGAAGTGTTGGAGGTATTGAAATGTAATATTGAAGGTATCGAATGTAATATTAAGTTTGTAAGTTTTTATTGGAATCCAAATTGGAAGTTTGTAAGCAAGTGGTATTATAGTTAAGATCGACGAAATTTCTTTAAGTTTTGAGTTTGAGGAAGATGGAAGAGGAAGGTTGAGGAGGAGACAAAGAGTTGTTTGTTCGTACTTGTTTATGCTTTGTTTGTTAGTATGAATTGGCGATTATGTATTAAGAGAATTTGGGAGTTTCAGAATTTAGAGATTTGGGAATTTAGGGATTTGGGAATTTAGGGATTTGGGAATTTAGGGATTTGGGAATTTAGGGATTGGGGAATTTAGGGATTTGGGAATTTAGGGATTGGGGAATTTAGGGATTTGGGAATTTAGGGATTGGGGAATTTAGGGATTTGGGAATTTAGGGATTGGGGAATTTAGGGATTTGGGAATTTAGGGATTGGGGAATTTAGGGATTTGGGAATTTAGGGATTGGGGAATTTAGGGATTTGGGAATTTAGGGATTGGGGAATTTAGGGATTTGGGAATTTAGGGATTGGGGAATTTAGGGATTTGGGAATTTAGGGATTGGGGAATTTAGGGATTTGGGAATTTAGGGATTGGGGAATTTAGGGATTTGGGAATTTAGGGATTGGGGAATTTAGGGATTTGGGAATTTAGGGATTGGGGAATTTAGGGATTTGGGAATTTAGGGATTGGGGAATTTAGGGATTTGGGAATTTAGGGATTGGGGAATTTAGGGATTTGGGAATTTAGGGATTGGGGAATTTAGGGATTTGGGAATTTAGGGATTGGGGAATTTAGGGATTTGGGAATTTAGGGATTGGGGAATTTAGGGATTTGGGAATTTAGGGATTGGGGAATTTAGGGATTTGGGAATTTAGGGATTGGGGAATTTAGGGATTTGGGAATTTAGGGATTGGGGAATTTAGGGATTTGGGAATTTAGGGATTGGGGAATTTAGGGATTTGGGAATTTAGGGATTGGGGAATTTAGGGATTTGGGAATTTAGGGATTGGGGAATTTAGGGATTTGGGAATTTAGGGATTGGGGAATTTAGGGATTTGGGAATTTAGGGATTGGGGAATTTAGGGATTTGGGAATTTAGGGATTGGGGAATTTAGGGATTTGGGAATTTAGGGATTGGGGAATTTAGGGATTTGGGAATTTAGGGATTGGGGAATTTAGGGATTTGGGAATTTAGGGATTGGGGAATTTAGGGATTTGGGAATTTAGGGATTGGGGAATTTAGGGATTTGGGAATTTAGGGATTGGGGAATTTAGGGATTTGGGAATTTAGGGATTGGGGAATTTAGGGATTTGGGAATTTAGGGATTGGGGAATTTAGGGATTTGGGAATTTAGGGATTGGGGAATTTAGGGATTTGGGAATTTAGGGATTGGGGAATTTAGGGATTTGGGAATTTAGGAATTTAGGAATTTGGGAATTTAGGAATTTGGGAATTTGGGAATTCGGGAAATTGGGAATTTGGAGAATTAGAAATTTGGGGAATTGGGAATTTGGGGAATTTGGAATTTGGAATTGGGGGAATTTGGAATTTAGAGAATATGGAATCTAGGGAATTTGGAATCTAGGGAATATGGAATCTAGGGAATTGGGAATTTAGGGAATTGGGAATCTAGGGAATATGGAATCTAGGGAATATGGAATCTAGGAAATATGGAATCTAGGGAATATGGAATCTAGGGAATATGGAATCTAGAGAATTTGGAATCTAGGAGATTTGAAATTTGAAAAAATTGAAATTTGGAAAAATAGAAATTTGGGAAATTAGAAATTTGCGAATTCCCTAATTTTGAAATCTATTAATCCTTAATTTAACTAAAAATCAATGCAAAATATCAATCATCTCTTAACTTCACATAAAAAATAAAAAATGTAACGACAAAATATAAAACGACAATTATTTTTGCTTGCAGGCGCGCAGTCGAAGCAGAGGATCAAAGATGTCGGAGACGGAAGGTGAGGTCTTTACGAGACGGCGTCACGATGTTCTTTGAATATCTCTGGCCTACGAATATTCGTCTATCGTAGATACGTAGATAACGAACGAGCGACGAAACACTCAGGGAAAATAAAAATGTACGATGATCGAAGATGGTGACCGTCTGACACCAATGTACACGGGATTACTCTCTTTCTAACAATCATTTAACGATACCTTTGTCTATAATTTCTGATTCGACAAACGATTGCACGTGGCTACTAAAAAACGAGTACGTTGTAAACCAAGTAACATCTTGGTCTTCTCCACTAAATAATTCGAGCTCTTTCCCTATTTGTTCTTTTTTTCTGAAGTGAGCGAAATCGCGAGCCAGAGACTTGATTAATCGGCATCTGATCAATCATTCTAATTGATAACATTTTCCTGCATTAATCCTTGAACGAAGTTCAAACATTTCGACCACGATATTTTGTCTATAATTCGGTGACTGTTTAACAAAAATTGAAAATGAAATGTTTTATCTTTCAGATTTTAACTCGCTGTAAAAATTAATTTTAACGTCTTACTCTGTTACCATTGTATCGTCTTTGTATTTTTATAAAGCTTGGTATAACGAGTCCACAATTTTTGTCTAGTTCTCCGAAGTATCACTTACCGTTGACCTCAACGCCATTCAACTTGTCAAAATTTTAAAAATAAAAGCGTTTCTGAAACGTAATTTTAGCGCTTTATATTTAAACTTTCGCTTCAATGGCTGTTCGTTCAAGGATTAGCACAGCACAGTCCGTTATTTGAAACCACTAATAAAGTAGAATAGAATTGTAATAGATCATTTAAACGTATAATTATGTACGGACTGTAATATCATTTTCTCTGGTATTTCGATACAGTGTTTATATTTTTCAGATATTCGAGCAGTAGCAGAGAGCAATGATTTCCACAGCATCATCGAGGGAGAGAGCGGAAGATCCAGCTCGGTGGACTACTTAGACACCTACGAAGACATCCCTAAGGAAACTGCGAAGTTCGGTGAAGAAGGAAAAATTCAAGAAAACAAAGAAGAAACTTTTGCAGAGATAGAAAGAAAATCGAGCGAACTAGAGAAGAGAGAAGTCACTCGACCAGGTTCGTGATGCACGGTGTAATTCGAGGATAAATGGATCACCTACCGCTAATTTATTCTCTGTTTAATTGCCAGCAATTGAAATTGCAAAGAATATCGACTTAGGAGGTACTTTAGATCGAATTGTTTCTTCATTCAACGAGGAACGTGCCAAACTTGATTCGACAAAGTCACTGAACAGGACAAAGCTATGCCAGCGCTGATTACTATTTTTCTAAAAACATATTGAGCAATATTAATTAATTTTCAAAGCAATATTATTGTAAAAATGATTCTATTAATGGAAGAGATTAGTTCGTGCATTCTATGTATACTGTTAAGTGCATTCTATGCGTTTGTTGTTAAGAAATCTTTAATTAGATACCTATTGTTGTAACAATAAGATGAGTCAGAGATCTATTTGACTCACAGAGGTACCCGGAAATTCAAACAATGACAAACTCATGTGAACATAGACTGTTAATTTAAAGAATTAAGATTTCTCAGGAAAGTGAATGTTCAAAGATTAATACTTTAGTTTATAACTTTTCTCTAAAAAAAATAGTATCAGCGTGTAAGATTTCAATCCCCACCAGTCTATTCGCAAAATATAAATGAGCCCGCTAGAAAGAAAACTGGGGCTCGTTATTCAAAGCAAACAAATCCATCGAAATCCCGAAAAGCGAAAGGTGTACCATCGATCTTCGAATTAGCCGACACCAATCCTAGCGTACACATCGCGCGCGTGACGTTCGACGGCGCTCGTTCGCGAGGCGTTGAACGAGCGACCGAAAATAAATCCCGCGGAGAATCCCGTGGCTTTTAAATAAAGCTAGCGCGGCGATTGCCGGTCAAGCAGCCAGCCTCCCTTTCAGCTCGCGAAAACGCGTCACGCGTTCCACGCTCGCTCGTTCGCTCGCTGGTGTCTTTCGTCCGACCGGCTCCCAGAGGCGAAGAGGGTTTCCGAGCGCGTGCGTGTGCTTCCTCGTGCGGCCGTAGATTGACTGTTCGGGTCGTCCGGGTTCAACCACCGTCTCGTGTCGTTTCTTTTTCAGCGATCACGCCCGGAGAACCGGGGACCGCCATTCACGGGAACAGCGTCGCGGGACGAGAAGAGGCGACAACGAGAACAGGGACGACAGGTACCGGCGATGGACGCAACGAGAACGCGCCAGTCGGTGAGTGGAATTCATTGCCGGTACTGGTAGAGCGTCTACGCGCGGCTCTCGAGCTCTCCTTAGGGAGTCGTCGCGACGACGAGCCCGCGTTGCCCGAGGACTCCGGCATCGACTCCGAGGAGGACTTCCGGATACGCGGCTCAATGGAACAGGCGCTGGGCAACTGCAAGGAGCCCGAGCTAAAGAAGGACCTCAAATTCCTCGAGGACCTGTTGTTGTCCGACATCGAGACCGCTTTGTCCCGACTCCGGGAGACCTTGGAGAGGATCGACGTGGCAGCTTTGGCCAGACACGGAGCCGCCTCTGACCCTACCAGTAAATTGCAATTACTGAGACTGGTATCTAGTTTGTTGTCCAGACTGCAAGTGCCAGAAGTTGTACCCGAAAAAGTGACCGTCTTACCGTCAACGTCGCTGAGCCGAAGACGTCGAGGGACCAGACACACCATAGGAGTCTCCGCGGAAGAGTTGGCTCGTGCCAGGAAGTGGTTGGAGGAAGAACGAAACGGTTTTCAACGGGAAGATGTGGTACCCTTCGTTAGAGATCAAAAAGATCTGACATCGCCTTGTAACGTGAATGTAGATAGGAAGTCGGAGGAGATTCGCGACAAGTGTATCAAGGACGCCATCAACCAGCGCCAACTGCTGGAGGACAAGAACAAGGAGATTCGGGAGAACTGCGCGTACCGTGGAATCCAACAGGTGGACTCGGTAAATGATAAGGTGAACGGGGAGCAGAATGCGTACCAGGCTCCTTACAGAGCAAACGGCAGTTACCAAGATAAAGAGAACGAGGATAACGAAGAGAGATCTCGCGTGAGCAAATTAGCAGCCGCGCTTAGGCAACGCGCCGAGTTGGCGACTTCCGCCGGTGGAAAATACGCGAGCAACAAGTTCACCGCGAAGAAGACGAAGATCAAACGCGCGAACACGATCGACATACCCAGTTACCTGAAGCTGCAAGAGAGTCTGGGTCACGAGAACACTGGCTGCGTTTCTCTGCGACGACCGATAAACGTCGGCGACAAGTTTAACTCCGTGAACGCGATCGTGCCCACCTTTCAACCGAAAACGGAGAACGACCGAAAGTTCCTGGCCCTGATCAACAAGAATACAGAAGCGCCGTCGAACGTGCCTGTGGTTCCCTTCAAGATCTGCGGTAAAACCATGGACATGTCGTCGTTGACCAACGAGAACTGGAACAGCCGATTCTCCAACATCAAAACGTCCTTCGATAAGACGAACGCACCTGAAGATAAGGAAAATAAAGCGTCACTTAAGGCTCGAGCGAACAAGATGTTCCCAGGTGCTCAGACGCAGATTTACCCTGACTGGGGTTCCAACTATAATCACCCTGTGACGAAAACGAACTCGCCGTCGGGCTTTCGACACGCTCCTTCATCTCCCTTCAAGAAAATAGAGAAGAGTCCTGCGAGTCCGTCTAAGGTGCCTCCCACGTATCACTGGCCAAAGAACGCACCGGTTCCAACTAACACGCTGAAGGAAAAGGCAAGGATGATGTTCGATCGAGAGCCCTCAAAACCTTCGAGGGTCGAAGTGGATTCGCAGGAGAAGCACGGTTTTCCGCGTCCACCATGGTTGGACCAGGAGAACAGGGCAAATGGCACTGTGACAGAGAACGGAAAACTCGATTATCGCTCGTTCTGTAAACAGTTCGCTCCTTTCGTTGGGAGACCCCCGTCTACGGAGCCGAAGAAGCTGGAGCGCGATAAGATCCCCGGAGTGGTGGACGGCAAAATCTCCTTCAAAATGATTCCCGACAAGCGCGTGCAGACTTACCAGTACCCGACGAATCGTCGAGATTCGAAGGAAAAGTTCGAACCCATAAGAGGTCCAGTGGTTAAAAGTCACGACGCGGAAAAACCAAAGAACTTCGCCGATACCACGTTACGTGGTAGTTCCTCCGTGGCCGTGCAGACCGGAGTCAACGACGAGCACCAGGATGAAGGACGCTCGTTCCGAGTAGCACCGAGAACCTCGAAAGGTTCGAATTTGGTGTACAATAACGCTTCCGTTCAGACTTCCGGGGACTCGGATAGAACGAGCGACACCGAGACTGGGAAACAGTGGAAACCAGCTTACTACGAACATTCGGATTCCGATCAGACCTTCGAAGACCGTCAGCGATTCATTTTGGATCACAATCAGAATTACCGCACGGTGTCCAGTGATTCCGAGCTGAACGGTCCACCAATGACCAACTCGTGCAAGACAGTGACTGAACCCGTTCTCAGGGACTCCGCGCCCTTCGAGGACACCCGAGGTTACCAGAAACCGGACGAAGCTCCCGAGACCCGTGAGTACTCTTCCTCCTACGTCCCTCCCGCTTTGTACGACTACGATCACCCAGATGACACGCTGGACGTACCCGAGCAAAAGGCACCCGACTGGCCCAACGACGCTTCCACTTTCCCAGACGATCAGAACATTCAGAATCAGGATATCAGCCCTGAGGTTGGAGTGGTCACCAGATACACCTGCGCGATAGCCACGGTCGCGTCCTCCGTGGACAGTCCCGAGCCTCGTTCCGAGGAGGTGGCAGCTGACTCCAGAACATCCTCGTCCCCGTCCCCCTCGCAGTGGTCCTGGTCCAGATCCAGACCACCCACCAACGAAAACACTACCCCCGAAGACGAGATTCGTCGACACAATCTGCTGCAGCAGAGCCTTGTCCGTAGACTGCAAAACGAGGTCACGTCGTTGAACGATCCACCTCCTCATCAGAACTACGGCCAGCACTTGACCGTCACTCAGCCTAAAAGCTTTAATCATCCTGCAGGTCAGCCAACGAGCTTTACCCAGAGTCAGCATCAGCCAGTGAACGTTGCTCAGAGCCACCAGTCACCAAACCTTGCTCAGAGTCACCAGTCACCAAACCTTGCTCAGAGCCACCAGCACCAGTCACCAAACCTTGCTCAGAGCCATCATCAGCCAGCGAATCTTGCTCAGAGCCATCAACGCCACTCACCAAACCCTACTCAGAGTCATCAACATCATTCACCAACCCTTCAGAGCCACCAACGAAACTTCGATCAGCCAGCAAACTTCGACGTGCCTCAAGGAGCCAGTCGATACGGCAAGTTCCTAGCGCCTGTTCCTCAGAAGAAGCCAGAACCTCCTCCATCGCATTCGCCTGGTCCAATGACCGTGAACAGAGTGATTGCCCTGAGAGAAGCCTACGAGACACCCAACACTCCACCGAAACCGCTGCACAAGGAGCGTTCTCCCATACCAAACGGTGCAACGCCCAACGACTCCAGCGACGAGTACCTAGTCTCCTGTGCGACTAAACCGTCGAGATCCATCGTCCTATCGAAATCGGAGTCCTGGCACCAGCTGGCCATCTCTAATAGTCATTCTCGTGCTCCCAAACCGAACCAAGCGCAAACCTCTGCCTTCTCGAGGGGCGCTCATCCGAAACCACCCAAACCGCGGTCGCCCTCTTCTCAGAAGCTGCGGTCCAAACAGTTCGAGGCTTCCTCCATGGCGGACAGCGTGAAGAAGATGGAGGACAAGATTAGACAGTACTTTGATCACCCTGCGGACCACGTCGAAGCCAAGGATTCCCTGAAGAACAGACGTTCTCCACGATTTGCGAGCAAAGGCCTCGTAGGGCTGTCTCGCAGTCGCACGATGCCGGGTTTGGCCGATGACAAATTGCGTCTTCTGATCCCCACGACTCAGCAAGCTCCTCTGCTGAACGTGAACACCGCGGACGTTGATAAAGTGTTCGACGACCTCTTCGAGGAAGCCACGAGGACCGACAGCCAGTGCTGATCGACTGGATCGTCCTTTGTCGTCCACGTGTTAACGCTCGACGCGGCGTGCGATCAGGAAATTCGCCGTGTCGGGCTTCTTTGGCTGAGACTGATCTACCAGTGATTCCAGACCGGTTGTTCAAAGACTCGATCGTTTCTCGTCGCTGGTTTCCGGTCGTTAATCGTGATTCTCAACCGCAAGAGTCTGTGTACCGCGTTCTTCCGGGTTTAACACCGTGCTGTAGAGCTGCTGTTATCGGTAGCTATCAATTTTGTATTATCGATAACTCGGTGATGAGTTCTTGGAACAGGAATGCGTAGTTTCATCGTTTGAATCTATTTATGTTAGTTCGGCCTCTCAGGAATGGTTGTAAATCTTCTTTAAATCTTAAGAAATAGTATACGAAGAGAGTGGTGATATTTGTGACCTGTGGTTGATTCAAAAGCATATATGTAAATATCCTTGAGGTTGAAAAAGATAAATAGATTCGAATGGTAAAATTAGCCCGCACCTTGATCTTAATTAGCCACAGCGATGCCATCGACATATCGTTGAATATAGACAAAGTATTGATATATTGATCGATAGCAGTATCTCTACCGTGAAGTGATACTTTCGGATCAAGAAACTTGTAAGATTTACCGATGCCATATTGAAAGAAATTGAAGATTCGAAATGCTAAAGATGCATCAAATCAGTAATAAAACGATGAATGAGGAATTGCAACGAGACATAAAAGGAAGCTCGACAATGAACTTGGAAGAGTATTTTGGAAGAAATCGGCGAAGAAATCGTTGAAAGTCGTTGATCGAGGAGACAAGACTGAATGCTAGAAGGGGCAATAAAACGAGAGTTGATCTTTGTAGAAGCTGGTGAAGAAACCGCCCCGCGCTGTGCTTTCCGCTCTTTGTTTGTTTCTTGTTATTTTCTTTCTGTTTTCTTTAATAAGCCACTCGAGTCGCGCTGTTGCGAACACGTTTTGCGGGACGGACGTTCAGAGTTGCTAAGAAGGTCGTGCCAAAGCCCGAATAAAGCAGTGAGTCACAGCCCTTCTTTGTTGATCCTTTTTTTGCCGCGCAGTAGCGTGTAGCTTGCACCGGCCAGAGACTGTGCACGAAGTTTGAACATAGCATATACATATAGATATGTTAGAACATCTAGGCGCAATAGAATTCACGAGGGACGTTGTCCAAGTTGTCGCGGACCTTTATAGAAGGATGATTCGTTTACGCTGAATCCTCAAATCTATAGATTGTTCCAGAAATACGCGAATAAACTGTAGAAGCTTATTCTAATCGTCTCGGGGATGAGATATAAACGTTTATCCGACAATGCTTTCCTTCTTCCAGTTATAAATGTTTAAATCCTTTGCGGTACGCTTTCTAAACATAACGTTTTGATCTTTCGTTTAGATTTTAGACTCGGGTTTATGCACCGTGAACTATGAATATTTGTCGAGTGAATGAAATAATTACTGCTACTATTAATACTCCTATTAATTCACAGTGTACGAAGATGTGTGTATTTTATATAAAAACACGTTCCTAGATGCTCACAACTCTATTTTTCTGTATTCGTAGGTTTTAATTTTTCATATTTTTAAATGCAATATTAACGACATAAATATGCACCGATATTCCTTGATCGCAACTAACTCTCAATATTTCCAGATTGCACCAACAGAGTTTTACAATAAGTTGAAAATCTAAACGAAAAGTCAAAACGCAGTAATAATTTGTAAGGTGGAAATCGATCGCAAATACTTGGACAATGTTGGTCGTGTAACAGACTACACTGCACACAATTTTACAAGAAAAAGAGTGATGACTCGTACGACGCTTGGATTCTTGGCGGAAACGGGCTGATTTCCTGCGTGCCGCGTTAACAGACCGCAGAATAGTCTTGTAGGATGTTGCTCCTGTGGCAAGAACGATCTTGAATCCGCTCTATTAACAGCTCGCGACCCGACATGCTTTCCTGTCTCACCTACTAATCCAACCGGTTCGAATCCGCTCGCAAGGGATATCCCCTCGTCGCAAAATATCTACGCGGTATTCCGATCAACTGTAAGAGAACAGGATACCAAGAGTAATCTTTAAGGGATTACGAGAAATGGCTGACAGAAACGAAAAGAACGATACAAGAACAGCGGGCGCGAAAAAAAAGAAAGGTTCGGAGGACGATTCTCGAATCGGCTTCACCGAAGAGCTCCTGACGAATCATTCTTCGATCGACGAACAAGCAATTCGTCCTCTATCGACGCAAAAATAGCGACTACACGTACACACATGCATTTATTTGGAGATTGTAAACAACCGGAATACGCGCCAGCCAAGTTTCCAAGTCTTTAATTCAATGAGGAGAATCTAGCGTTCTCCGTCGCGTTTCCCAAGTAACTGGAAGTTATATTTCGTTCGCAAACAATTATGGTAAATGCTCAAACGAAATTAAAATGTAATTCGCGAATTACGTGTACACTTTAATTTGGACTTTTTGAGAATGTTCAATCTTTTCTTACGTTTTATACAATCGTACGTTGGTATCGAACCAGGAATATTCCATCACACTGGGTGCCACAAGAACAAATTTAAAATAAGATTGAACGCTCCTCTGTAACCCTTCTTCAGATTATTGGGATTTACATAACCATAACAATTAGTCTGATTAGAATTCATAATATCTATATCTCTAAATTATGAATATATAAATTTTATATTTCTAAACTTTTCTATACAATACAGTAACACAGAAGTATGACAAATAAATGACTTCCCATTTATCCAAATAAGGGTTAAAATTGAGCAATCGATATAACACTTGAATTTAGATCTTTAGTTTTAGATTCAGCTCCACGTGTTTCTTGTTGTTGAAGCGATTTCGTCATCGCCTCGTTGCGACTCAGATCACCGGAGAGAGAGATAATTTTATAATACGACCTAACCGTTGAAATTCACTTCTGTTTTCTTTCCTCTTATATATTTTTAAAGTGTTTCCTTTCGTCCGTGCAGTTTTCGCAAATACTTGACATTGAACAATTCGCAATCGGTGATCGAAGGTCGACGAGGCGGAGAAACGAAAATACTTCTTTTTTTCGTGAAGTTTTTTTTCTTTTTTTGAATTTTGCTGAAATCCTCCTAATAATCTTCTCACATGCGCAACAATTTCATTGACAAACTGATTTCAAACGTGTAGATAGAGAAGATTAACATTGACAAAGTTACAGAATGCGTTTCGATGATGAACCCTAACGTTTGCAATACGATTGATTTATTTCTTGCACGTACAAATGATACTGTTCGTTTTTTCAGCCCGCAAGAAGCCGCAATCGCCGTTTGCCAAGTTTCGTGAACTCGACAGACAAAATAGCGCCGCCTCGTCACCCAGGTAATCGAAAACCTTTTACTAGCATTGTTTATTTATACGACTGTATTTTAGTTGCTGCCGGTGAAAGAACTTCTATTCTTATGTTTCCTTTCTTTACGCATCGACTCACTGATTTAACATTTGTAATAATAAGCCAGATGGACTAAAACTGTACTTTTACAATATACATTTATCCATCTAGATTATTAAAATAACATCATCATAAGTATTTTTACAATAATTCAATACAATAAACCGTTCAAGCCATTTGTGAATAACAGCTAATGTAATCCAAGTCCACTTTATAACATCATCATAAGAATTTTTATAATAATTCAGTAAAATAAACCGTTCAAACAATTTGTGATTGAAAGCTAATCTAATCCTAGTCCACTTTATAACATCATCATAAGAATTTTTACAATAATTCAGTAAAAGAAACTGTTCAAACAATCTGTGATTGAAAACTAATCTAATCCAAATCCACTTTATAACATCATCATAAGAATTTTTACAATAATTCAGTAAAATAAACCATTGAAACAATTTGTAATTGAAAGCTAATCTAATCCAAGTCCACTTTATAACATCATCATAAGAATTTTTATAATAATTCAGTAAAATAAACTGTTCAAACAATTTGTGATTGAAAGCTAATGTAACCAAGTCCACTTTATAACATCATCATAAGAATTTTTACAATAATTCAGTAAAATAAACCATTGAAACAATTTGTAATTGAAAGTTAATCTAATCCAAGTCCACTTTTGGTACTGTTCAAAAATCATAAAAAAACTTATTTCTTATTTCTGATATAAAAGTTAATTAAATAAGAAACAGAACAAAAGTGGATTTGGCACTGAAGACTGCATTACAAGTAGAGCACTAAAAACAGAAAAATAAGTAATGCCTTTGTTTAGTGAAGTTAATCACGTTGGCAGATGAACGGTTCATATAAACAGCGATGATATTTTTTGAGTGTTCTGTAAAGTTTAACGCGTGCTTTCTCTATATTTAGTCCCGTAAAGTCACCGGCAACAGAATTTCGATTCAAGTTTACCGAGCCAGCGGTGCGGGACAACGCGGCGCAAATAAAAGAGCGGCTGTTGGCGTGGTGCCGTTCCAAGACCAAAGAGTACGAGGTAAATCCGCCTAGTAAATGGAGCTTCTCGTGCGAACGCGTGTGTGCGCGCGTTATTTACGGAAACGCGAGAAATAATTGCGTTTTGTCGAGAAGTAAAATTGCGCGTTCATGAAATTAGCTGCGTATACAGCCTTCGTTTTCTGTTACAGAATGTGCAGCTGGACAATTTCTCGACCAGCTGGAACAACGGATTGGCGTTCTGCGCTTTGCTTCATCATTTCAGACCGGACGCTTTCGACTATCATTCGCTACGACCGGAGAACCGCAGGATGAACTTTGAATTGGCGTTTAAAAAAGCCGAGTACGCCTTCACATTACTTTCTCTCAGATCTAAAATAAAATAGATTAGTATTTGAAATAATATTTTATCCAATTATAAATTTTGTATAATTGAAATGTACAGTGAACTCGCCGGGATTGCACCGTTACTTGATGTCGAGGACATGGTGATGATGCGCCGTCCGGATTGGAAATGTGTCTTCACCTACGTGCAGTCCATCTATCGCCGCTTCAAAGACGAAGATTAAGGACTGACTTCGACGCTTCTCGACGGCGTTCTGCAGTGCAAACCCGACGTTCACCGCTTCTCACGATTCGTGAGACGGTCCGCTATTCGTTCGATTGATCGTCAAGGAAACGGTATACTTCTCCAATTACACAGGATGAGAAACGATGAAACTCTCCGGGCGAAATCCTCGGGCAAGAACAAGAATCGCAAAAGGTTCGCTTTTGCGCGGCCCACATTCAGCATCATTTTATACACACGACTTTTCTGGCAGCCTTCCGAACAATTTATAATTTTTCACCAAATGATGATAATGATGATGATGATGATGTAGCAGATAACGGCTTCCTCGAACACGTAGTGCTGTGACTGGTGTATTAACAGAACACCGACAGCTGTTGCCAAAACTGATGCTAGCGTTGATGTTTTCGATGGAATTTAAGGTCTTTTATGCCAAAGATTTGTGAAATAAATACGTGATGTTAGCGACTTTGTTAGTAAAGTTATTTCTTATCGTAGAGCCGACTAGTGTGAAGTTTTAACGGAGAAATTTGATGGTTCTTTACAGGGAGCTTATACGCGGTGCTGAAATGTAGAGTGAAAATTATCGTAAATTCTAGAAAATTAATTTATTAAATGTAATCAAAGTTATATAATATTTTTATTATTATAAGTAATATTCTATGAGGTAATTATATCCATAGTCGCAACTATAGTCTTATTCGAATAACCAGTTATGTTCGAATTTTTCACGAATACATGGCTAAAGTTAACTACAACGACATACAAACTTTTTTACTCAGACTTTTTTTTTTCTTGTATAATAATCTCCAATATGGAGATGTATATTTTTATGTTTGAATCATAAGGCACTGGTTGAAACTTAATTACAAAACACAGAATTAAAGTACGCTATCATCCAGAGAGTTATTTATATTATTTCCATCTTCTCCAAGCATTTCCTGCAACACAGAAATTTCATTCAATTGTATGTGAATAATTTAAACATTATGTATTAAGGAATGCTTTTGAAAATACCTGCAAAACTTCGACTAGTGCTCTTGATTCGTCCAACATTTCTTTATATATACGTTTTTCTTCTTCCAACTTTTCAACGCGTTCAGTCAATTCTCTGTTGTCTTCTAAAGCATCTTCCAGAGCTATCCGCCGTCTTTCAGCTAATACTTCCCAATAGTTTTCGCTAGGTCCAGCTAATTATAGGAAATATGTTTTCATCTTCAATAATTATTTACAGATGTTTGTATTTTTATATATGGTAAAAGAATTTACCTTCAGAAGTTAGGTCTTCAACCTCGATTTTAATCTTTCCACCTCTTGCAGTCTGAACACCTTTATCCTTGAAGGTTATTTTCTTACGTTTTGCAGGTTCATTTTTTGGTTTCTCAATTACTTCACTAGAACATAAGATTTAAATTGAATCATACATACAGAATATGAGTAAAATACAAAGCTTGGTTGCTTACTTACTTTTTATTTGATTCTTTCACCGGCAAAGCAGATCTGAGCATTCTCCCTCCACCAACCAAGTTTTCTTTGTCGGTGGCTGATGGCTGCAAAACGTGCAAAGACTTTCTGACCTTATCCTGTTTTGGTAAAACAAAAATATATGATCTAACTTGAAGCTTTAGCATGCATTGATAATGTCAAAAGCAAGATAAGTATATTAGGTAAAAGTATTAAATTAGTATATGTAAAATGGAGTGAATTAATATTAAATCAATATACACAATGCAAACATTAAATTATGGAAAATTTTAAATACAATCATGAAATTACAAATAAAAAGAAAATTACAGTAGTTTAAATTTTTGGAGTCGTAACAATGTAGTATAACCGAAATGCAAATGATAATCCCTGTTATTCTTGTTATTTGAATGATGGCAAATGTAAAATTAATAAAAAAGCAAGCTATTTACTAACCTCAGAAGCTACAGTTTTGGCGGTAGAAGTCTTCGTACCACCTCCAGGTTTCATGGTAGCGGCCGTTAGAAACGTGAGTCGATGAAACCGTTTGGGAAAAGCCTACTCTCATTACAATCATGCAACGGATACTGATACGTACAATGTAATATTTTCCCGCGTTTTAATGCATTCCGGCGTCCAAAACATTCGTTTCATAAAAATAGGCATAAAATTGTGTACAGTTTCTATGAAAAATTTATTTAAATAAATAAGTATACAAATATAAAAGCTTTACTCTTATTAAAAAGTATAAAGAGATTAATTTTAATAAATATACTGACCAAAATTAAATTAGCCTATGCGTGCAACCTGTAGGTGAAAATAGTGGAATAACACCAAGTAGTTGGTAATATTGATTCAGGTGATAATGCATGTAATTCTTCATGGAAATAGTACCTTAACGTACAGCTGTCATACATTGTATTTATTGGTTGTATAGCAATTTATATTTACATTCAAAACAAAGTTAAATAGTGTACATTTTTTAACAAGTTAAAATTCAATTATAATAGATACTATAAATTATATCAATGGAGACAGTTCCTAAAGATTTACGTGGATTAAGAGCTTGTTTAGTATGCTCTTTGGTTAAGGTATACTTTCTATAAATCTGTCGGTATAATTTTATTATAAAATTATATATCTAATATTTTTTATATTATTTTAGACATTTGATCAATTTGAATTTGATGGTTGCGACAATTGTGATGAATTTTTACGCATGAAGAATAATAAAGACAATGTTTTTGATTGTACAAGTTCTAACTTTGATGGGTAAGTTATTTATGATATAAATAACATGAACTTGTATATATGTGTAATTACATTTGCTTGCGAACCATTAAATTTCTTTTAGTATGATTGCTGCAATGAGTCCTGAAGATAGTTGGGTTTGCAAGTGGCAAAGAATAAGTAAGTAACAAATGTACATCTATACACAACAACTTAAGATTAAGCAAGAGAAATATCGTTCTTTTATTCTTGTACACCTTTACAAAATTATAACAGTTACATTATTTCATAGTAAATCATAATATAAATTGTTATCTTTTATTCTACATTACTTTAAGATTTTCAATTTTACAATATTTCCCCAACTACCTATTAATAAATCAATTGTTTTTTAAAGTCTTTTGGCAGTGCAAATGACAATAATCTAAATCATGTTCTGCATTATATTCATAAATATATTGAAGGCAGCACTTTGTACAAATTTTAAAACCAATAGTTTGATACAAATAATGCAACTGATACAAAGTAATACAGTATGTACGCTTGTAATTTAATAAGATTGTGTTCAACTTTCTTAATATTAAGTATTATTATACATTTATACAGAATTTTTACTAGTAATGCATGACACTATGTATAATTATTAAGGAACATGCTCATGTGCGTACATAAGATTATATTTAAGATCTTTTTTTTAATTTCACGTATATTTTTGTATTAATTTTTACATATTGTTTTTCATTATTTTATCATTTTTCTTTTAAACTAAGACAATGTAATGGACAAAAGTTGCTAATTACAAGTATTCGTTATAACTGAGATTCGATTTTTTTTTCTTTCAGATCGATTCTGTAAAGGCGTATACGCAATATCGGTGTCAGGTCGATTACCAGCGGGTGTTATAAGAGAGATGAAAAGCAGAGGGATAGCGTATAGACCACGCGATACAAGTCAACGATAATTTTGAACTTGTAAGATCACTACCATATTCTATTGTTATCGTTAATAGAATAATATATTAATTTTTGTCTCATATTTGCACTAAGAATTTTATAAGATCTTCTCGAAAATATTAATTCAATTTGATTGATATGAACTTTTGTTTAGGTTTAAGAATTTGCTTGCATTCCTTCAACCTTTTTGACTATGTTTAAAATTTTCTGAGATTTCCCCGCGACTTCACTTTCTCCCTATTTCGAACGATTACATTATATCGTTATTCTTTTCTAACTTTTTTAATGTTTGTACAGATTTTTAAATGGACTAGTTTATAATATCTTGAAAACTTTTGAATTTAAAGCATATGTACAACTTGTGTGGAATCCATCATTCTCTCTTATCGTACACGTATTCCGTATTCGTATTACATTATGTATTAATTATTAAAAAAATGTTAACATTTGATTTTCTAATTGTTACTGAAATATAAAATTAGTCGGCTTTGCTTCCTACAAATCTTTGCGTAATAAGTTAATATGTGTACATAAAAGTTTATGAACATAAGTTTCTTTTTCGTTACGCAGATTAGTATCAAATGTGATTGTTACCTGGACATACGTTTGAATGAGAATAAAAAGACGGATGCCGCATCACCGGCAACTGACTGTTAACACAATTAAGCCATAGATTTGCACAAGTAACGTGATAATTATTTTCATTATAAACTACCCCGCCACTAGTAATAATCGTTAAACAAAGTGAACAACAAATGGCTTCTCCTTGATGTAAAGGCCAAGCTGGTAATTCCGTAACTATCTGAAATATAGTATACAAAAATATTTAAGAACATATTTATACATTTATATTAAGAATTAATAAACGTTTTTAAAATGTAACTGTAATGTATCTTACTGGTATGTTGGCGTAAAATGGTTCCATTTCTGCCCAAATTCGATCAATATCCATTAGCAATTCGTCAAAACCTATTATATTGATGTCCATTTCTTTATACGAAAAATTAACACGTCTACAAACAGCCGCAACTTCAGCTAAATCTGAAAATGATAGTGCTGTATACTCTTACGATATTACGACAAATCCAGCTGAGATCTTGTAATATTACTAACTGCAAAGGAAATTATATCCTTGCGCCGAATTTAAAACTTCATTAAGTACAAGTTCTGAACTAATATTTGTAAATATATTTGCAGCTACTTGCAATAATAATACACAGCTTTCCATGTATTGTTTCCATTCCCAATATTCTGCCTACAAAATTAAATAGAACAAAATTTCTATATTACATGTATTATTATTCTTCTCATACTTTTTGTACAGTAATATGAAATAACCTGATGTGTGGTATCTACTATTAGCTCATCCTCTGCATTTGAAGGTAAGAAAGACTTAAGATCTAAACTAGGCACAGATCCTGATCGGGTTAATGCATTAGATGCACTATTCATGAATTCTATACTATTAATTGATATGGCATCTTCCTTCTGTAGAATTTTACCTTCAAATAAAATTACGATTGTTATATAAATTATGTAAAAGATAAATAAAATAAATAACATGATGTTATTTACCCATCTCTAATGATCGTTCTTCTACAGCATCTTCAAGTTTAAGATTGTCAAACGATTCAGAAATTTCTGGCATGAGATTGAAATCTGCAGTGTTTGCATTATTGTTATTAGATTTAAAGTCCAACTCTGTAAAAATATCGGCAAAACTGTTGGTATCTAAAGCATTTGTGGCAGGAGTTTCAGTAGCAGGCTGTTCCGCGGACACAAACTCTCCAAATTCATCGAGCGACTGATTATTACAACTTGCGTTTGGATCTGATTCCGTGGTTACAAATGTTTCCTGAACCAGTGCACGCAAGGCACTATATTTGTCTTCAACAAGTTGAAGACTCATAAGATCCTGTTGAGTAACTTCTGATGATCTTACTGCAGCCTAAGCATTATTTAATGACAAAAAGTAAATATATACAAGTGAAAACCCTTATAATTGTAAGTATTAATAATGAGATAATTAAGTATTACCTTTCCTATGCATTCTAGTTTGTTGGGTATATCTTTATCGTTACTTAAATATATAACTTCTGTATTTGTGTGATCTTTTACATGTTCACTATGGTCTTTGGGTGGATCATTGTTCCTTATCACTGTGTCCTTAAGTATTACTGTTTTGGACTGATTCTTTATCGTGCACTTTGGAAACAGTTCTGGTAAACATTCTAACTGTGGTTGATCTTTATTCTGAGATACTGTATTTAAAGATGATGGTGTAATACGTGTTTGAATAGTGCCATGAGCAGATTTAGTATTTATATTATTTTTTTTTGACTTTTCCATAGGTTTCTTAACACCTAAGTTATGATTTGCTAATCTGCTGCCAATAGCTGATCCTTGTTTTGTGTCCCATATTGGAATGTTAGGAGTATTTGGAATTGGAGCACTCTGAAACTCTGAAAAATCATCACACGGATCCGTTGTTGTTGAATACTTAGAATCTAACTGAGAGCAAGAAACTTGTTTTGTATCCTTCAATACACTGTTTGAATCCCATATTGCAGTAGAGGAGGCATAAGATCTATTATCAAAACATGAAACTTTTCCAGGTACACTGTTTATCATTTGCACATTTAAATCTGAAGATATGATTCCATGTTGATGCAATTTAACTCTGTTCTTTATTTCTGAAGAATATTTTCCATCTGAGTCTATAAAACCAACCTCAGTGGTGTCATTAAGATTTTGAAATTTAGTTGCAGAATTTAATTGAGTCATAGGCTGTAAGTTCATTAAACATTCAATGTTTAGGTATGGAGTTGGTGGAAATGGAAGTAAATGTAATATATCTAAACTATTAAATGTATACGAAGCCTGTGCTGCAGCAACAAGAGCAAGAACAATATATAATTCTTGCTCTGTAAGTTGCCCAGCGTATTTTTGATTTGCCAAATTCCATATGTGTCCAAGAACTTCCGTAGGAAGCTGACTAGTGAGCAATAAAGGAAAGACTTTATTCGTGTCAACAAGTAACTCGCTTTGCATTCCATTTGATCTAACTTTGTCTTCTCGTACTGCTTCCCATACCATTTTATAGATTGGTGGTAAAGTAGTGGAATTAGTCCACAGCCAAGTTGGCAATTGATTCAGTCTTTTATCCATATGAGTTTTGTTCATTGTTAATAAACTCCTTGGCTGAGTTTTTGCTATGACGAGCTTAAATTACGTAAACTCGTCGAGCAGAATAATTTCATCCTTTAATTTATTACCCTGGTACATACATCAAAATGATTACTATAAAAATTTCACTTATTCACCAAACAGTTTTAACATTCGCACATGTCACTTGCATTGTATTCCTCATTAGTGGTTCTCATTGTGCAAAATGGACGAAGAATAATGTGGTCTTTTGAGTATTCGATGTAATTGAGGTTGTTAATTCGAGAACAAATTTCAGAATTGCGTGGCACACAGCTTGACAATTCAGGTGTCACCGGATGACCACTGAATAACGTCTTATTATCGAAGGTTGAACCGCGACAAGTACGATGAAGTGTATTCAAATTTCGGGTTTAAGGTGCTTTACAAAGGAAAAATGTTCAAAAATAATATATTTTCAATATTATATTTGTAACAAAATCATGTAAACAGAATATTTAACGTTACTTATTTTATAATATGTTTCAATTTTTATTCTTTATTTTATATCATTTTTAAAAACAAAAATATTTTATATTGGTTTGTACGTAGAACTGCCTTAATGCTTGATCATAGCCAATGTTTGTCACATTCATAACGCAAGAAAGTTTGTATATTGTATACGATAATCTGAAGCATTAATCTTTTCTTGAAGGATAATTTTATATATTATTAATAGTTGGTTAAAAGCATAACAAAAACGTAAGTGTTAAACACTCACTGATCTTTTATTGAAAGCCAATAGTAATAGAAAAAAAGAATATATATTACAGTATGCGAATTAACCTCCAGTCTGCGTTTCTAATACTTCAATCGAAATTAAACATTTATCATTTTAGGTGACTAAACTAAATACCAGACTATATCGAAGCCATTGTGACGATGTCTACAGACTTTTATATACGTTATTATGTTGGTCATAAAGGAAAATTTGGTCACGAATTTTTGGAATTCGAATTTAGACCAGACGGCAAATTACGATATGCAAATAATTCAAATTACAAAAACGATACAATGATTCGTAAGGAAGCCTATGTACATCAATGTGTGATGGAAGAACTGAAAAGAATCATTCAAGACTCTGAAATCATGCAGGAAGATGATTCTCTGTGGCCACAACCTGATCGAGTTGGGCGACAGGAATTAGAAATTGTAATTGGAGATGAACACATATCGTTCACAACATCTAAAACTGGTTCTTTACTAGATGTTAATCAGTCACGTGATCCAGAAGGTCTACGATGCTTCTATTACCTTGTACAGGACCTTAAATGTTTAGTATTTTCTCTTATAGGACTTCATTTTAAAATTAAACCTATATAAATACATACAATTATTTTATAATCTATTTCAAACTTAAATAAATGTAATGTATTTGATTAAGGAAATATATGACCATTTTTAATTAATTTTGTATTTCTTTCTTACTTATCTGTAACACTAAACTTTTTTAAGATAAAAATATAAAAATACATAATAGAAGTTGAGACACAATCTGAATCACATTTCTCTATTGTATAGGTTTGTATGAGTTATGTGAAAACAATGTGTCTCTGATACACAGTATACTGTAATGGAAAAAAAAATATGTGTGACAGATAAGGGGTAGTTATAAAATCCATGAACATTCCCTAACCGTACGTCAGTATTCAATAAAGATCTGAGTTGTGAAAGAAAAGACTGTAATAAGAAATAAAAGGTATTTTGACATAAGTATAATATTATAGGTTATAATTCCCTAACCTCTGTATTAAAGATTTCAAAAATACTCTGAATACAGTTATATTTATATAGTTATGTTACATTTCTAATTATTGACATTAATTGTTTTTTCTTCTATACCGAATTTTAGTTTATATTTATTCTTTGGATTTTTTTTTAATAAATCAAATAAAAATACAATGCTTTAAATTATCAAACAATATTAAATATTATACCATTGTTTGTTTCAGAAACAAAATGTCATTACAAAATGACGAGTCAACGAATAATAGGAAACCCACTGATCGGGTTGTTACAGATGCTGTACATTCCAGATTTCGAACAACAGAAGTACACTGTGATATTTGCAATATAAATATCAGTGGAAATTATGCTGCTATAAGCAAACATTTTAATCGTTCTCATCCTACTGAAGAATACTGCTGCTATTGTAAAGGCAAAGTATTTAGCTATGTAGTTGTATCATATGATGATTCTACTGAAATACCAAAACGAGTTGTTTATCACAAATGCACTGGATCTGAAAAATAATGTAAGTTAGCTCTTAAGTACAAATATTCAAGAAAAAGTACAAAAGAACTTTTTACATGTGGTGTATTTTTTTATAAAACTATTCTACATTAGTATGTGCAATATAAAACAGGACAAAGCATATAAGTATACAAATATGGGTAATAGATATAAATAGATCACAATTCACTTCACAGTACCATAGGAAGACATGATTTTTGTTAAGTGCTATACAAATAAGAATTATAAAGTTTCAGCTTACAAATATATTCAAATTTATTATAAGTATAAAGATACATGTGTATTTGTACACAATATAAAGTTACTCTTCTTACAAGTTACAGATTCACAGAATTTTTTAAATAACAGAGACAGTTTTGTAAAATATATAATAAAATATGAACATGTAGAAATTTTCTATTTGTAAATTGTACTTTGGTGTAGGCAATGTTAGTAGAAAGGAACACACAGTAAAAGTAATAATTAGATAAATATAATATAATGTAAATCATTAAGTATTAACATAATACCTTTTAAGTTAAAAAAAATAACAACATTTTCAACATAACTTATTTTATATTCTATACATTTTCTGTAAAATTTGCCAATAGTATTTATTACTATTTATGTTACATTAATATGTGCATCATGTATACATATATACATATTCCAGATTTTATAGAATTAAAAGTAATTTAGTGCTACATATAAAGCTATGAATTATTTGTGATTTTAATCAATTCTTATTCTTTAAAATACTTTGCAATAAATTTTATATAAATAGCTATTAATGATTAACAATGAAACTCTGTATGTGCGGTACAATAATAATAAATGTATAATTATTATTGCCAACTTTGGGTTATCACTCACTCGTAAATGTAAAGAAGTATAATAATACTGATAATATAATAAAAAGAATCAAACTGAAATGCGACCAAGACTGTAACCGAAGCGTGCAAATTTTTAATATATTTAAGAAACAGTTCGGTAAAATATTTTTCTAATATAAGTGAAATATTAGATTTCGTTACGACTGAAAATGTACTTTTGGAATGCTTCCTTACTCGTATGTTACGTTTAACGCCTATGAATATTTTCTAATATTTTGTGGAAAGCTTTTAAAGTAATCTTATCTAGATTATATAAGAAAAATACTTTGTGCACGACGCACGTAACAAGCTAGTTTCAGCTTAGTTCTCGTTAACATGTAAGAAATAAAAATATATTTTTTAAATAACATTTGAGCTTTTTGAAGCAAATTCTATATGTGCTGATCTACAGTGACATGTATACTTCTTGAAAGTATACACTTAGCTCTGCTCAATGAATATTAATTTTTTAAACTATTTTCTCTGACGACTTTACCTTGTTCATAGGAATAATTCTGCAAAAATAATTTTAATCTTGAGGGATAATCCGTCATTATACCGGTTGCTCCAAGATCAAAAGCTTTTTTAAATTCTTCCTCTTTATTCAAGACCCAAAAATAAACCTGCAGAACAATTGATATTGTAATACATTCTTAACATTAAAATTATTATAATTATTATTATGTAGATCTTACATGTATTCCACGAGCCTTTAAATGCTTGAATAAGCATGGTCTCATTAATAATATATTAACAGTACGTACAACCAGTTTTTCTAAAGGCAAAAATGTTGGATTCAGATTGCCTTTACGCCTGTAACAATATATTTATTTATTTTCTGTTTCTATTCAAATTTATTATAAGGTAAAATAATATAGTACCGTAAGTAAATAGAAGGTAGAAATATTTCTAAGTGGGTTTCTTTCAGAGGTACAAATGGCAATAAACCAGTATACAACAGAATAATTAATTGAGTTACACGCCGCATAGAAAATAATAAGTTTACATTTGGATTCTGCAAGAAAGATTATTGAAATCAATAAAAATTATCATGATTTAATGTATTGTCTCAATTATTTTAAAAGTAAATAGTTACCGTTTTGTAACATTTTTTTGTTATTTCATCATTAAAATTTCCCCATACTGTATATTCTTCTCGATTATATTTCTTAATTAAGTCAGACACCTTTGTTATAAGTTCATCATCGTTAACCTTAATATCAATATTAATTGGTATATTAGGAAATGCTTCAAACACTTCCTTCAATAAAGCAAATTGTCTGTCCTCTTCTCTCTTTGTGCCAATATATTCCGCATCTGTCAAGCTATAGCTTTTAAATCATATCATTTAACAACATGTATGAATATAAGTATTTGAATACCTGGATCAAAATCAATAGGAAGACATGGTTTCAACAGAGGTAGATCTTTGTAATTCACTTCTGAAATATTTTTGTTTGTACCCGTACTACGTAATAAATTATGATCATGACATACAACAACTTCTCCATCCTTTGTTAGATGACAATCTAATTCCAACATTTCTGTACCAAGTGCCACGGCTCTAAAATATAATAAACAGTAAATTAGTTATAAACACAATAAAAAATCATTTTCGTTTTTGAGAAAACGAGTTAGATCTTTGACTAACCGTTTGAAAGCGAACATTGTATTTTCATACCCCTCTCCTGCTCCTAAAAAAAATTTAAAATGTATAATCAAACGTCTTATATACGTGCATTGGTATATGATATTTATAATTGTCAAAAATGACTGACAAATGAAAAAAACATACCGCCTCTGTGACTAATATGCTGACACATAAATTTTAATTTCTTTTTCTTGTGTAATAACGTTGGATACTTAAAAAGTATCATTGATGTTAACATGTAACTTCCTATTATCGTATATAACAACATCTTACATTCCTTTCTCATTTCTTATTTGTACAATATATCGAGTCATATCGCTATCCTTTACAACGATTTTGATTAATGTACAAATAAACGTTCTGAATAATCGGATACATGAAAATGAAAAACAGGAATTTTACACGAACAATACGAGCTCATAGTACATTATTTTATATTTGACATAAACTATGAATAATATGAATACGAAATCCTTTGGGTAAAATCGTATGAAAAGGTGCTATATATGCTAGTTATACAATTCTTTGCAGAGACATAGTTATAGTTTACTGGACCCGAGGCAAAAATTAATATTTCTTCTGAGCAGTAGGTGTTCTTAAAAAAAATGATAATGTAGGGAAAGGAAACTACGCTATTTGTTGATTTTTAATGATAAATTTTTAAATATACAATAAAATAGAAAATTTGGCGGGACCTGAGACTGGTGCCCCCTTTATTCGACATTAACGACAATACTGTTCTTCAGGAAAGCATGCATTTAGATTTTAAACGCACCTTAATAAATACAAATCTTTCATCGTTTCATATTCTATTATTTAAAAAGTTCGAAGATTTGTATGCGATCAATTGTTCAGTATATGAAGTTACATTTCTTTGCATATATTATAAAATTTTGCGTATGGAATATCTGTATTCTTAATTTCTTAAAAACGAAATTGCAGTTTATAACAAAATAAAATCGAACATAATCCATATCTTAAAACATGTAATTGATTAAAAAACATGTTTCGTTAAGAAATTTGTATCGTTTATTTGAATTTTTAATTAATTATAGTTCATAAACGCATATCATTTGAATATCACAGATTTTTAGCAAACTTTGTATCAACAATTCGTAAAAGTTGAAAGGCGATAGGTGGCCGTAAAAGTGATTACGTAAAATAATTAAAATTTCAGACATTGGTATTTCGAATAGCAGGTAAATTAGTAATTATATTAACCTGTTGGACATCTATCTCTCTTTGTAATTCAGAGCTTTTCTGAATGCACCTGTCAAACAAGTTTAAAAGCTACCTTGACAAAAATGTATTTTCGCCAGCGTCTCTCATTCGTTTAACGAGATGTCGGATTCGAATTCACCGAAAACGGATGCAAGCAGTTCAAGCCTTTCAGGAAATTTACGGCAATTTCGATTTCAGAAGAAACAACTGAAACCGTTGAATATGTGTAAGACTCTTTTTATTTTAGAGTTTCAATTTACAGGTCGATACAACCGGTGTCCATTTTTTATTATATTATGAAGAATATTTTCTTATATCATTATTATCGTTTGTTTTTTTTTTATAAAAGCTTTTGATCAATCTTATTTCCATTTAATTACATATTAACTAAGGAAGAGTATGTTCATTTTCTTTCATCTTAGAATAATAATGTTGCTAATGGTTAGTTTATCATGTAATTAGAAATAACTGATTATGAATTAATTATGTTTTTAAGCGGATGATGATAGTAACTCAATGAAGCCTGAGATACAATTTCGACGTAAGCCAGTAAATGTTATTGAAGACAGCGATAGCGATTCTGATAGGACCTCTAAAAATAAAAGCCCTGTAGATTACAAGGACAAGGTATGATGCTATTGAATATATTACATATTCCATTCTAAATCTTTTTCCGTATTAACAGGAAGCAGATAATAATACAAATTGTAACAGTGATGAAGGTGAAGAAGATTCTAGGAATGCCAGAAAGAGAACTTATAAAGGATCTTCCAAAACCAGTAAGAAAAAAAGAAGAAAATTAAATAGAGCAGAGGATGTGGATAACGATTCAGATGAAGCATGTTTTAAGGATAAAGTATTTGATAGGTATGTGTCCAATAAGTTCATAAATGTCAGATATTTAATTTCCATTTTGCAATATTAACAGTGATGAAGATTCAGATATGGAAATATCTAATGAACTTACTGGTGATAAGAAAGCAGTTTTAGAATTTATGCAAACTGCTCATCCAACAGAATTACTTTTAATGTCTCAATGTTCTCAAAAGAAAACAAATGCTATCATAGAAGCAAGACCATTTGAAAATTGGAGAGATTTAGTTCAAAAGTTCCAAAATAATAAATATTTAGATACAGAACTGTTGAATTCAGCTCAGGTAAATAACAGAAACTGCAGATCTTCAAATGTTTTTTGAACAATTTCAAATAACAAATGAACTCTTGAATTTCATTTCTTATGAAATAGGAATTATTGGCTACCAGACATGCAGTAGAAACCCTCATGAAAAAATGTCTTCGGTTATCTACAAATATTGAAAGGGCTGTAGCTGCAGGAGCATCAGCTATCAAAAGTCAACCAAAAGCATTATCACCAAATTTAAAACTAGCTTCATATCAAATGGTCGGTTTAAACTGGCTTGCTGTGATGCATGCTCAACACGTTAATGGTATTCTTGCTGATGAAATGGGTTTAGGAAAAACAGTTCAGGTAATAGCTTTTCTAACATATTTGAAAGAGGCTGGCCTTAAAGATGAAAAAGATGGACCACATTTAATTGTTGTTCCTAGTTCAACAATGGGTAAGCAGATATTTGTAGATTTCCTTATTTTCGATTGTTTCCAATTGTGATTCCCCTTGAATTTATATAGAAAACTGGAACAACGAGTTGGAAAGGTGGTCTCCTGGCTTGAAGGTTGTAAAATATTGTGGTACTCAGGAAGAACGAAAAGAAATGAGATTAGGTTGGCGAAATGGTGATTTAGATGATGTAGATGTCTTGTTAACTACGTATAGTTTAATTAGTAGTACTCCCGAGGAACGGAGGTTGTTTCGTGTTATGCCTATTTATTACGTTGTTTTTGACGAAGCTCACATGTTGAAGAATATGAGTACAATTAGATATGAAAACCTCGTTAGAATTAATGTACGTATTTATTTTATTATATACATTTTCCTAAATAAATAGTAAGACGCGATTACGATTACAGGCGAAACATCGAATTCTGTTAACGGGTACTCCTCTACAAAATAATCTGTTGGAACTGATGTCGCTGCTAATATTCGTAATGCCCTCGTTGTTTGCTGGCAAACAAGCTGACTTAAAAAGTTTATTTTCAAAAAATCCCGTAAGTATAAAATCTTTGAACGACAGTCGTGAAAACAAGCGATGTAACTTTTTATATTTTTTTTTTCCAGAAAATTCCAGTTAAAAAAGACGGTGAACCGCCATTATTTGAACAAGAACAAGTTAAAAACGCGAAGCAAATTATGAGACCATTTGTACTCCGTCGATTGAAATCGGAAGTCCTTCAAGACTTACCTACAAAAACTGAAAACGTGATAAAGTGTCCACTGACAGAGAAGCAACAAAAACTGTATACAGATTTAATTGCTAAGTTTTCAGCGGAAGCGGATCAGAGCACAGTAGTTAATGGCATTGGAATGATGATGCAGTTAAGAAAGTTGGCTAACCATCCACTTTTGGTGCGAGATTATTACAATGACTCCAAGTTAAGAGTAAATTTACAATTTCATTATTTATTATAAAACAGTTTTATTAGTTTTATCAGCTGTATCACTTACATCATTTTTTGTCAGATAATATCAAGTAGATTAGCAAAGGAACATACGTACAAACAAAAGAATCCCGATTATGTATTCGAGGATTTACAATGGCTGTCCGATTATCAAATAAGTCAGTTAACAAGAACGTACAAAAGTTTAGCTGGATTAGGGTTACCGCAAGAACTCATTCCTGGAGCTGGAAAGTTAAAGATATTGGACGAAATGTTACCAAAGTTAAAAGCAGAAGGGCACCGGGTGTTGATATTTAGCCAATTTACAATGGTGTTAGATATATTAGAGGAATATCTAACTATTAGGGGACAAAAATATTTAAGGTTTGTTCTATATTTTATTATTTAGTTCTTCAACGCCAAGTAATATCAATGTTACTAATTTCTGAATTGAATACCTGGGCAATAGAATGGACGGAAGTACTCCAGTATCAGATAGACAAGATTTAATTAATCAGTATACGGAAGATGAGAGTATAAACGTATTTTTGTTATCTACAAAAGCTGGAGGTTTGGGGATCAATTTAACAGTTGCAGATACCGTTATAATACACGATATCGATTTTAATCCGTACAATGACAAACAGGCAGAAGATCGCTGCCACAGAGTAGGCCAAAAAAGGTACATTATTAATTTTCACTTGACTGCTTTTAATTTTTTGGAGATCATATAGACAGACTTTGTATTGACATTAAATATGATCCATTGTAAGGATACAACTTTAATTGTATCTACATTTATTTCTGTTTTTTTCTCTCTATATTTATGATTTATGATTGTATTTTCAGGCCCGTCACGATAACGAGATTATTAAGTGAGGGTACTATAGAAGAAGGCATGTATGAAATAGCCCAAGAAAAATTGCATCTTGAACAGCAGATTACAGAGGAAGGAGGTAAGTATCATAAAGTTGTTTGTATTTCATTTAATTGCAATAATAAAATTTGTTTGCAGAAAACGAGAGTGCAGATAAAAAAACCGTATTGAAATTACTTAAGATGACTTTGGGATTGGATCATAACAGATCTTTATCTCTGTCTCCAGTAAAGAACGCAAGAACGAGTAACGGATTATTAACGGAAAGCGAAGAAAACTGTAACATAGAATTTTAAAATTAATATTTTACTTAAACGTATTTTGTACTAGTGCAAAGATTTGCATCGTTTTGATATATATATATATATATTCTTAAACTTTGTGATAAAGTGCCGTTGCAGTTGTACAAAACATTCAACATTAGTGTTGGCATTGCATTTTGCAGCTTTTTAGTTTACAAATTTTTAGCGAAACAAATTTCTGTATACAATTTTGAACGATTTATGAAACTGTATTAACACGTTACATTTTATACCTCACTTATTTGCATAATTTTTCTATTTATATACATAGGCGTATTCATAATTTTTGTAATATTTTTTCTTCGTTTAATGTCTGTGTTACAATTTTGTCATGTACCTTTCTTATAAATTTTAAAAACGTCGTAAAGACTGCACATCACTTGCTACCGATATTGAACAAAAATGAATGCCGAAATCTAAATGAATAATTGTACGCGAAACTGATTCTTTCATATTATTTAACACACATTCCTGAATCGAATTGTACAAAAATACTAAAGATATTTCGCAAAAGAGTTAATTTATTATTACACCATACGTATATTTGTACTCGATTAAATTCTGACCATCAAAATAAATATGATAATTTAACTAATTCGCTAACGGTTAAATATAATAAATTAGATATTGTTAACAGTAATAAAATCAAGTATTTGAAAATAAATTATGAATTTGTATTGCGTCTTTTGTATTTATTTCACTATGCAACAATTAGTAACAGTCGGATATTTCCAAGATAAATTTGTAGTTAAGTTGAAACGATTTTGTCACTTTTGAAAAGACCGCCAAAAATAGCGCCATCTCTCCGGCGAACAGGGTGAACTACACGGTTTTCAAACTGTACTTTCATTAGTTCCACGAACTGCCGTTAGGGGGCGCCTTATGTGCGCCACCTGGTGGTAGAAGTAAGAACTAATTAAAGTAGTGTTTCAAAAGTGTGTAGTTCACCCTGTTCGCCGAAGAGATGGCGCCACGGTATTCCAAATTTTTCCCCTAGCTGGTATGTTATTGTCAGAGCACAGCTCTTTAGTTCTACATGTACCCGATGAATGGAGCCAAAAATACTGTTTTCTAAGCGCGTATTTATACTAATTTAAAAGGCATATATATGAAAAAAAGGATTACGTAACATTTTCGACTCATTGCATTCATTCCTTTTCACTGATGTCACAGACTACCATGTAATTCTACAAATTAATTAATTCCAGCTTTTCGATCAGGAATGTCAATAGCAAGATGGGAGAAGCAGTTCGATTATAAAGGACAGGTAACGTATGTATACTTGAAGATACATAACTATAGTGAGTCAAAATGAATACACCAATAAACTATGCAACAAATTTGTCGCACCTCTAAAAATAACAAAACGGCAGATATATTTAGCTTCTGAATTTAATAATATGTGAAGGTATAAAGTTGACGAAAGAGAAGAAAGTCGAAAAGGAAAAACTTGTATCTAAGAAAGTAATTTGAGTCATTATACCAGTTACATTGTTGGAAAATTTCCAGTTGCAGTACGTATGCAATATATTTATTACTAATATGCGAACGAATTCTAGGAATCGAGTGGGAGGCGAAATGCGATTGTAGGATGGAAAGGTAAAGGATAAGTGCGTAGAACGGGACAATTGCAGGAAAATGTCGAGAGGAAGGAAATGAAGGAATGCGGGAGATTAAAGCAGAAAAAATCACGTAACTACACGCATTTTCAAATACCAAAAATTGTAATGTCAAAATTGATTCGCAAAAACGTAAATTTGTATTTTTCGAACAATACGATGTAATGTCAATGCAGAAGATAAAAGGTGCAGGAAAAATAATTTTATCGTTACGTTGATAATTTTGGAAGCAAATTTTGCTTTCGCAGTTGTTTCAAATTTTTATCAGATAGGCGAACGATCTTTTGTTGTGTTCCTGTCTTACGGAATTCTTCGCATTTTTCTCACTTACCTGCAAAATGCTTGCAGATAATGCGATTATTGAAAAGCAAAGATTTATTACTCTATCGTCAAAAAGGCGGGAAATCAAAAAATATAATTATGTGTATTCTGCAACCTTCGACAAGCAAGTTCCCGGATTTAACAACTTTTATACTCATCTTTTATTATCTTGCGTTCATTGATGTAATAATCACGGATAATTGTTTGTCATTAGACTTACAAATGATGCGTAATAAAATCTGTACTTCCCAAAATGTGGACTCGTTTGATTTATTTACCGACCGGATTCTTTCTAATGATTAATGGGAATTATAAAAGTGAATATCGATGTTTATTTTATCGCGTGATAGTAGAATTTTTATTAAACTTATGCTGTTACAATATGATGTAGCGATATAATGACATCGATTGCGTATTTCCTTAATATTCACGATGTGGGGATCAAGATACGCATCTCGATAGACTGGTACTTTAGAAATTAGATATGTCGGAAACTTACAGTCGAAAGTTCGAAAATTCGATTTTTATTTCGATAAGGTTAGAAATGAGGACATACTAAAATTGCAGATTACGATTTTGACGTATTTAAGCTTTACGAGAACGATATATGAAAAATCACAAGATCGAAACTTGCAAACACGATATATCGAAAGTTCAGAAGTTCGGTAGTTTGCAACTTTGATAAAGTTGGAAAAATTTTTATACCACAAATCACAGTAGATCGAAAGTTTAGACATTTGACAGTTTACGAACTATCTAACCTAACTATAAGGTTAGAAATTTAAATTGGGAATTAAAGGTTAGAATTTCGATGAATCGAATATTAAAATGGCTTGCTTGCTTAAATCTGTCAATGTAACAATTAGAATGCACTATCTCGATAAATCGAAAGTTCGTAATAACGTCACATCGCAATTTTCAAAATCGATAACTTGCAAATGAGGGAATCTCGAAGACAGCGATTAGAATCTTGATAGATCGAAGATGAAGCTCTACGTCATCGTGACGTACGTAATCGGTGAGTGGAACGTAAATTCCGTAAAAATAAAAATTGGCGGCAAAGATTCATGTATCTCGTTCGATTGGAAAAAACGATAGAAATTGCGAAAGGTAATGTGTTTCTAAGGTGAACCGGCTTATCTCACTTAGATAGCAATGTGGAATAAGCTTTGTATGGTAGTCGAGTCGCATTGTCGCGTCCGAATCACGCCGTGAGTGACCGGTAAACGAAATGGCAAGGAGTATACGGTGTGCCGTGTGCGTGCTATGAAGCTATATAAATAATACTTGGCGCGAACCCTGATCAGTTGAGTTGCGGCGGTCGTACCTGTCGCAGCACAATATAATGTCTGAAGTATCATAACAAAACTGAAACCGGTTGTCCTTTTTTGCTCTTTCGATACTTTTCGTTCTCAATTTACCTTAACCTTGCTCCGTGCTTGCGTCGTGACTGTATATTTTTTTTCTTTTTTATTTTCTTTTATCCTTTTGACACCGCAGCCAGGTGAATTTGTGTATACAGAAGTGATCCGTCAGGATGTCACACGATAATTTAGGATTTACTTCGAGCACGGTGAGTGACATTCCACTATTTCTTTTATTCCTATTTTGCACTCGGTATTTTCACTTGTTTTTATTTCTATTTCAACGTATTATTTCATGTTCGTTGAAATTGTATTAATTCTGAAAACAACTTTTTCTTCATTCGCTTTATGATATACGCAGCGATTACAGTTATACTACTATTCTATTATTTGACTATTTCGCTGTGTCACTATACTGTTATTCTATTTAAACGAACGAGCTTAAGTATTGGCTCGCAGTTATAACTTGAATTACATTTGAATTTATAGAGGAAAAATTTGGCCGAATGTTTCATTCCAATTAATTATTCTGAACTTCTTATTTTCGCGCGAATTTTCAAGTATTCATTTGTTAATCGAGAAATATGTCTAAGGTAAACTTAAATATTTGCCTTTCCTTTTATCGACACGTTGTGGGAAAATGTACCGAACTGTTTTGCACGTGTAAAAATACAGTTTATGAATTACAAATATTGTTATTTGTCTTCCAGATAGACAACCGCATAAAAAAGAAACTCGTTCGTAAATTATAGATTATCTTATTGATATGTCACAAACGTGCATTTTTTATAAAATACGAAAGACAGTTACAGTCACGGAATCGAGTTTAGAACGTATCGCAATTTATATCTCGCAACAATCGAATCTCGCGTATTCAAGTAGAACGGTCAATCAATCGATCAGGATGCAAGTATCGAATCGATCGATATGACGTCACTGTAGTTTATGGCGGACATGATCGTATTTTTGGTTATATTTGCGACGCGCGTACTTCGTGATTTTCCCGCGAATAACCAGTACATCGTTCGATGAATATCGCGGAGAAAGGAATATCCAGGCTTCGATGAAAAAATTGACTGCGTCGAAGGACAATATTGGCCGGAACTGCGTGCCAACGATATTAATTATAGCGGTGGCAGGTTCATGATCGAAATCAGGCTTTTTAGTCATATACGATTTCAGTTATGATTATTCGACACAGTCGTTTTTGCGAGATTTACGTCATTAGAACGTGAAATTCGATGGAGAAAAAAAGTGCCCCGTTTCTGTCGAACGGTCAGTGAAACTGCGTGTCCCTGTGCAACTCTCGTTCTGTAACCTTTTTTTGCCAGGTGCCAGTTCTCTTTTCGTGGTTAATTTGTTAGATTCGAAGTTCGCGATCGAGAGAAATTAAGCAATTTCTATTTAGTTTCACTTTGTTTTCGACGCAATTCGTTCTCAATGACAATTGGTACTGTTATAACCTTTATTGTATAGGTTACTTTCACCCGGTTGCTCAGTTTGTTGATTTTCTTGGTTTCGTACCTGTTGCTGTTAGTCATACTCCAGAGCCTTGTCGTTTACAATAATTGTAGATCCAATGAAAATTCGTAAATATTGTAAACGGATCAAACGGGGCCGTTCAAATGACAGGTTATTGCGTGCACTGAAGCGTGAATCGAGATTAGTTCATATTAAGAATCGATATTATTAATGTCGCTACTTGAAGAATTCGCAGCTGAGGACAAGAGTTTCCAGAGATTGGTAACGATATGTTGACAATTCAAAAATTCGATAATTTATGAGAATTTAAAAAGAATTAAAAGCTTGTAAATTTCATAGATCAAGATTTCGGGATATCGAAACTCCTCAATTACGATATATCGAAAGATATTCAGTTTGGTATCTTAAAAATTGAAATATGTGAGAATTAGTGATTAGGATCTTGACATATCGATACTTTGCGATATACGTATCGAGAATTTCATAAGCTTATCAATTTTGAAATTGCGGATTATGATTTCGAACGATCGGAACTTCGCAATTACGATATATCGAAACTTCAAAAATTCGATAACTGAATTAGAAGATGTCAAAGTGGCGATTAAAATCTCGATGGATCGAATCGTAATGGAAGCTGCCTACGGCGTTACGTGTTGTAGAATGTTAGAAATATAAATAAAATTGCAAATTAAAAAAGTACATTTGTAAAGTGAAAGTTCCACGAAAATGTAAATCTTAAGTAGTCTGCGAATATTGTATTATTCTAAGGAAGAACGGAATTTTAATTACGGACTGATATCCAGTACAAAGCAAACGGTGGCTGACGTTGTTTTCGTTCAGACGGTTCGACACTTCACATCAGACATAAGGAAAAGTGGTTTTCGTTCTTGTATATACCTTGACATCGACAGCGTATCTCATAAAAAATTATTACCCTCAATAACAATGCTAGCTACGATATCAAATGTTTGTTATACTGATTAATCAGTTCGTTGTTTGTATCCCGCGTATCATCTTGTTTTCGTAGATTATATTTTCTGATAATGAACAGATCTGTTTAATCACGAAATTCTTTTAGGGCGCTTTTTCCATCAAATTATTTCATTAGAAGGAACAGTGATTTCTGTCTTCAATAAAAGAATTAACAAAATTAGAAATTCTAAAGTGTTAAATGGTAAAGTTAAATATAATTTTATTTATAGTTATCGTGTCTTACTAGGAATTTTTTCTAGTTAATCAGTTAGATTGCTGTTAATAAATATTGTCGATATTTCCAGCGACTTCGAGCAAGATCGTTTCAGGGGAAAAAAATTGTACACGTACAATAGAGTATACTAGAGAGTCGTCCCTGAAGAATCGTCTAGAAACGTGACGTCACAACTATTTCTAGCATCACATAACATTAAGAATTAAAGTAAAATTAATCTTTACAGAATTAAGTATAAAAATTCTTATTAAATTAAATAGAAAACTCTCATTAACACGAAGTGAAGAAAACCCTATAAAATTAAATGAAATTCCTCCAGTAAATTACACGAAAGTCCCTAGCCACTTAGTACCATGTAAAATTCGCCTAAATGATTATTGTCAGTTTAAGATACGGATCTTAAGTGCTCCATGCAGCACGTTACGTGTCAACTAAATCTTAATTATCGCATATCGCGCACGGTTGTCCTAATTAATCTTTCGGTAAACAAATTATATGATAATCCATACTACTTGAAAATAATCTCTCCTAAGAAAGTAATTTTCCAATTGTCCATTTAGTGTGCGATTTCGTGGGTAACTTAAGTCCAATCAAAACGATTGTTAACGTTATTTACAATCTACAAAAGCTAAGTGATGTAACTACTTTACTTTCTTATTTCTTATCTGTTCTTATGATGTTCGAAGCCGGTCCATTTTGAACAGTGAAATATTGACATAGTTGTATCTAGATATGCGTCTACATCGAATTCAAGTGCAGATAGCGTTAATGGCGGAATATTTCGGTTAAATGAAATTTCATAAATTATATTATATTAGCTATTTCATAAATTATATTTTTAACATAAATTATATTATGTTAAATCACTCTTGCGTATTAAAATGTATAGAATATGTTAGATTAATTATCTCCATAGTTTTCAATGCGTGATGCAATTGTTTATAGTGCTTGTTCGATTATCATTGTTTGTCTGATGTTGCCCGTAATATCTGTAAACGATAATTCGTTTCATAACTGATAACGATTTTGAGATCATTGAACAGTGAAATATTCCATTGATAGTTGATCGCGCAGAGATTGTCGCGTTTGGAATCGTCCTTTACATTCCCGGCCGATAGATAATCGTCTCTCTTCGTGGAAATAAGAAGCTACTATACCCGTCTCACTCTTTCTACTGATAACCACGAAATTTATGAGATCGATCTAGGCACGTGTGTTTGCGGATATTAAAATTCTAATTACATTACGGCCATACCTTTTCCTTTATTAAGATTTGCTCATCATTAGGGCGTTAGTGCTGGAATTCGACAAAATTAATAAATTAGTCGGTAGCGTATCGCTGCATTAAGTAGGATATTAGGTTGCGTATCAGGTATCATGAGTAAGTAGAGTACCACGTAGTGCATTAAGCATCGCATTAGACACGGTGAGTAGGTAGCATACTAAATAACATAATAATGTAGTAAGATAGTGCATCGGATAACACATCCGATAGTTCGATGCTGTACCTAGGTACCTCACTAATTATACATTAGGTAACACACTAACGTGTACTAAATACATATTGTGCTACTGAAAATTACTTATTGGCGTAAACACTGCATTACATTACATGCTAAGTACTGTATTAGGCGACGCATTAAATAGTGGGTTATTTACCATTACATTAGGGAGTGTTTAAATTACTATTATAACACACTGTGGATATTGTGCAGTGTAGTATTTTTTTGAGCAGTATAGTGATTAAATACAGTTAGGTATAGTAACGCTTGTACTATAGTAGCTACATAATAACTATTATACTACGCAGGACAGAAACTACTATATTTTTTAATGTATTACTATACTTCGTATGACAGTAATTACTATACCAATATAGTAACTATACTTCTTAGTTCTCTTGTCTACAACAGGAAGTGTGTATTACCAAGCCAATGATACTTTCGATCGTCAAGAATTAAGATAGTTAATGCATCATTTTAATTGAACATTTAATTACCTTATCGATCGGCGAATTACATCCGCTTTCCGTCTTTACGTAATCCCACTGACATTTAGATGGATGGTGAAACAATTGTTTATCTATTCATGGCTCGAATTAATGAAAATTAATCGCGAATTGTTCGTATGCGCACGATTCTTTGTTTCAAGATGATGGATCGGTAAATAATAAGCTCTGCAAAAGAGAAGTTTTCGTAAGAACAGGTTTCAAAGCGTCTTAAACCGACGCTACGATAGTCAGATTAAAAGAACGATAAAAAAGCACTCGTCTGCTCTTTACGGTCCGGTTTCAATACACGCGAATATTGTCTGTGTTTCGATTGTTATACCCCGCGGCCGATTTTAAGGTCATATCGTTAGGTAAATATCATTCGGCGAATATCGATCCGCGACATGCTTTTCAAATTATTTTCGTTCGGGTACGTTGACTTATTGTTTCAGAAAAGTCGCGATTGCGGACGAATAACAAGTTCTTAGTGTATCGGGACACAGTGTATTTGCCAAGCGAGCTGATAGAAAGTTATTTCACGGTTGTTGATCGACCGATTACATTGTTACATAGGAGGAATACTCGGTGTACTCGTTCCTGTGCAATTTACACGCGGATCTGCGCGTTATCCCTCGCGTTACGAGGATTTATGAATATTCTGTCATTATCAGACGAAATCGCATGCGAGTCAAGGATACAACACGTTGAAAATTATCCGTGCTGTAATTTTCACGATTATTTCGTTATACGATGATGGTAGCTGTACGATAAATTATTCGCGAGGCACACGTAAACCTATATTTCTATCGTAAATTGTGTAATGCAACGATAGTTGATATAAAATATTCCTGACAATAATTAGGTAATCAATATATTGTCTGACGCCATATATTATACAGCTCGATATTCAACACACTATTTCTTATGCAGTTTAGTATGGGGGCTTATATAGTATTTGGTCAGTACATGATATAGTTTCTAGTATAGTAGTTCTAATATTTTTTGGTATAATAGTTGTTACTATACGTAGTGTGATAGTTTATATATTACCTTGTGCAATAGTTGACACTATACGTAGGTATAGTAGTTACTATATTACTTAGTATAGTGGTTGTTATATTACATAATATAGTAGTTGGCACTATACTTAGCATAGTAGTTACCATATTACCTAGTATAGTAGTTGCAACTATACCTAGTATAATAGTTGCAACTATATCTACTACAATAGTTGCAACTATACCTAGTATAGTAGTCGCAACTATACTTACCATAATACTTGCAACTATACTTGGTATAGTAGTCGCAACTATACTTACCACAATAGTTGCAACTATACCTAGTATAGTAGTCGCAACTATACTTACCACAATAGTTGCAACTATACCTAGTATAGTAGTCGCAACTATACTTACCACAATAGTTGCAACTATACCTAGTATAGTAGTCGCAACTATACTTACCACAATAGTTGCAACTATACCTAGTATAGTAGTCGCAACTATACTTACCACAATAGTTGCAACTATACCTAGTATAGTAGTCGCAACTATACTTACCACAATAGTTGCAACTATACCTAGTATAGTAGTCGCAACTATACCTACTATAATAGTTGCAACTATACCTAGTATAGTAGTCGCAACTATATCTGGTATAGTAGTTACTACATTACCTAGTATAGTAGTCACAACTATACCTGATATAGTAGTCGTAACTACATCTGGTATAGTAGTCGCAACTATATCCAGTATAGTAGCTATTATTATTCTTAGCATCATAATTCATATATTCCCTAGTATAGTAATTGGTACTATTGTATAGTAGCTATTCATAGTGTAATTCGTTGCCTACCATATGTATAGTAGTTGCTACTTGATCTCATTAATATAGTATATATGTATATTAATACCCATAATTATATTAGTACTCATAATTGGTACTCCAGTATAGTTAATGAATTATCCGGTATAGTTGTTATGTTGTCTACTACGACCGCCACACAATTAAAACGACGCAAAATTACTTCGATACACGCTTCTCACGAACTTAAGTACCGCGCAG